TTCAGAGTCTCTTCTGACATCCATTTTGGGCTTTTGTTCCTCCTCTGTCTTTGTGATGACCTTTTGCACTCTTCCTGGATGATACTCTTGCTATCCTCCCACAACTCTTTGCTCATTGCTGTTCAAGGCCTCAAAACTTTTCTTGAGATGGTTCCAAAATTGAGGTGGGATACACTCAAAATCATATTTTGGTTCCTGTGGATTTTATTTCATTTTCCTTAGCTTCAGCTTGAACTTGCATTTGAGTAGTTGGTGGTCTGTTCCACAATCAGCACCTGGCCTAGTTTTCCCAACTGAGCTTCTCCAGCAATTCTTTCAATAGATGTAATCGATCTGATTCCTATTCATACCATCAAGTGAAATCCATGTATATAGCCTGCGTTTGTTTTGTGTCCATGTTTTCCAACTGCTGATCTTTCTTCTCTATTCCCAACTTTTGCATTCCAATTTGCTTTCATGTGATATTAATTATATTGTTCGATAGTTTCCACATTCAGCTGGATATCCTTTCTGGAAAATGGAAACAAACATCAAACTCTTTCAATCCACTAGCCAGACTGCTGTCCTCTAAATTCCTAGTATAGAATGGTTAGTGCATTCAAGGCTACATCTGTTAATGGAAACAAGTCAATTGGTACCTCATCGATTCCTGGAGCCTTCTTTTTTTGCCAATATCTTCATTTCAGTTTCTACTTCCTCCTTCATTACCATTAGCTCCTGTTCATATGTCACTTCCTGAAATATTTCCGTGTCAATGAATTCTTTCTGGTACATTGATTCTGTTTAATCCCTCCACCTTCTTTTGACACTTTCTGGGTTATTCAATATATTGTCCATAGCATGATTCAAAATTGCAAATTGAGACTTAAATTTGGTTTTCAGTTCTGTTAGCTTGAGAAATGCAAAGTTCTTCCCTTTTTTCCCAATTCAAGATCTCTGTAACTTCTATTATAATACTTTGCTATGCCTTCCCAAGATGTCATTTGAAATCTTTTGTTCCCATTAGGTGCCACTAACTCAACTAAAACTCATAGTATCCCTATGAACAACAGATGTAAACCTTACTGTATCATATGCCACCCTCTTAATCTCTGATATGCTCAAGTCTAAATTTACAGTCACTGTGTCAATCCATTTTGTTAGCAGTCTTCCTCTCTTTAAACCACTGTTATTGTCACATAATTGATTATATCAGATTTGAATTTGGTTTCTTTATGTGGAGTATAAATTTATCAACTGTTCTAATCTAGAATTTTACTGGGTTGGGGTTTTTTTTTACATCTAATACGTGTGTGTGTGTGTGTGTGTGTGTGTGTGTGTGTGTGTTTCAGACTATTCTTCATTCATATTTTGTTACATACAATCATTCTCATGCATTATGTTTTATAAAATCAATCACCATTGGACCTTGTCCGTTATTACCCAGTCTTTTCAGATTCCCACCAGACCCTTCCCCTTTCCTTCATCTCCTCCCTACACCCAGCAAACTCTGCAAACCTGTGTTTTGCCCTTACCTATCCTCACCACTCTGCTCCCACCCCTTCCTCTCTTGGGTCCCAATACATATTTTATTTCTTATCCTTCTATGTTTACAATAACAATAGTCTTACACAGTATTTGTCCTTATGAGACTGTATTAGTTCACCCAGCATGATTCTCCTCCAGTCTCTCCCAAGTTATGTAGTATTTTTCAAAATCATTGCTCCAGAGTGCTGCAAAGTAGTCTATTGTGTGAATGTATTGCAATTTATCAACCCATTCATTTGCAGCTGGACATTTGGGCTGTTTCCATGTTCTTGCAGTGGTGATTAATGCTGCTATGAACATTGGTGTATATATCTCCATTTGTGTCTCCTTTCTAATTTCCTTGGGGTATGTTGCTAGTACTGGAATAGAAGGGCCATACAGAGTTTCTATGCTTAAATTTCTGAGAAAATGCCAAACTGCCTTCCAAAATAGTTGTACCATTTTACAATCCCATCAACAGTATATGAGAGTTCCCATCTCTCCACATCCTGTCCAAAATTTATTGCTTGCTGCCCTGCTAAACTTTGTCACTGCTACTGGGGTAAGATGGTATCTCACTATGATTTTTATTTGCATCTCTTTTATTACTAGTGATTTTGAGCATGTCTTCATGTATCTGTTGGTAATCCAAATGTCTTTCTCTGTGAAATCTTTGCATGTCTTTTGCTCATTTTGTGATTGGTTTATCAGTCTTTTTCTTCTGGAGGTCCAAGAATATTCTGCAAATTTTTATTAAAGAGACCCTTGTCTGAGACGCTATTGCTAAATGTCTGTTCCCAGTTAATGAGTTTTCTTTTCACCCTGTTGGATAAAATATTTGACACATGCAGGGATTTAATCTTTAGAAGGTCCCGTTCATCAGTTTTATACTCTTCAGATTGTACACTTCTGTCTGTATTTGGTGGCCTCTTTATACTGTAGGCTAGGCCTTCTAAGCTTGATGCCAGTTTGTCTCTTACGAAGTTTATGGTTTTGGGCTTTCCTTCCAGATCTCTGATCTACCTTGTGTTGATTTTTGTGTATAGTGTGTGATGTGGATCCTGTTTCAGCTTTCTGCAGATAGCAGTCCAGTTTTTCCAGCACTATTTGTGGAAAAAGTTGTCATTTTCCCATCTGATGTGTTTTATTTCCTGATCAAATATCAGTTGACCATAGATAGCTGGGTCTATTTCTGGCTTGTCAATTTTGTTCCATTGGTCTATGTGCCTGACATTGTAACAGTACCATGCTGTTTTGGTTACTACTGCTGGTAGTAGGTTTTGAGGTCCGGGAGTGTTATGCCTCTCACCTCATTTTTTGTTTCTCAAAAGTGTTTTGTTTATTTGAGGTCTCTTTCCTCTCCAAATACACTTGACAATTTCCTTTTCAATCTCCTTGCAAAATGAATTATGTATCTAGATTGGGATTGTGTTGAACATATAGTTTCCTTTAGGTAAGATTGTCATTTTCACAATATTTAGTCCTCCTGATCATGAACAGGGAACATTTTATAACTTCTTTAGGTCTTTTATTGTGTCTTACAGAAATGTTTATAGTTTTCTTTGTATAGGTCTCTTGTATCTCTGGTTAGGTTCACTCCAAAGTATCTCAATTTGTGGTTGGCTATTGCAAATTGGTATTGCTTTCTTTGTTTCCTTCCCTCAGTTATCTTTGTTACTTTAGGGAAATCCCACTAATTTTTTAATATTGATCTTGTATCCTCCCATTCTACTAAATTAGTCTACTAGCTTTAATGGTTTTTTTGGTTGAGTCCTTGGGGTTTTCTGTTAATACCCATATTCTTAAGGCTTAAGGTCCATCTTTATTTTAATGTAGTTGACTGGAAATCTGTAATTAGCATTAATTCCTAAACAACTTATTGGTCAGCTTCATCCCAAATGAAGTTCTAATTTAGTTCAAAAATTATAAGAATATGCTCAAGTATTAAGCACCTAGATAGAAATCATAAATGTTATTATCTTTAAATGAAATTTCAGAATCTAAAAGTTACTGCTATGTGACACTGGTAGAATTTTTTTTTACTCAAATCTACCTCATATGACAGAGAATCACTCTTTTTCATGTGAATCTGATGGATGGGTTGAAGTTTATATTTATTAAATAATAAACACATCTCAGATGAACAGTAAGACAAGGATATGAGACAAACAGGATTACAACTGAGAGACAGCAGAAAGGAAAAAAAAAAGGAGAAAGTACACAACTGAAAATTTGATATGGAAACACAGCACAATTAAAAGCTTTGGCAAATAAGGCAAATAATTTTATTAGTTCTCATATGTAAAATCAAGGATAATATTTTCTCCACCTATTTCAAACATAAGAAATTCACCTGGGAAAGATAGGGTGATTCTGCGATCATATGAAATCTTCTGAGTGGAAAATCCACCAGTTAGGAGCAATAATTTTATATGTGTAATTTAATTTAATGGGAGTTGCACTGGTAATGCAAAAGCAGTGCAAATCTGAAATAATCCACAATCTCTCTAGTGGTTCAAATCCACCAGCTGCTCTTTAAGAGAAAGATGAGCAATTTCTTCCTGTGTGATTTAAAATATGCCTCTGAAAACCCACTGGAGGATCAACTATCCATCGGTTCTGACTGAACAATGAGTTTGAGATTGATTTCGTGTTTTACTACACTTAGGAAGAGCTACTATTGGTGAGAGTTGCAATGCGGTTGGAACCAACTGAGAGGAATGTGGAATAATAGACAATCATCTCCTTTACAATTTACAGCCTCTGAAAATTATTTGTATTATTACTGGAGACTATGAGTCTGTTGCAACTGTGAAGATAACATAACAACAACTATTATAAAATGCTACTATTATTATTAATCTACTATTATTGGTGGACATCTCTGAGTCTGTTGCAACTGGAAGGTGTATAACAACTATTATGACGTGCCACTATTCTTAATCTCACATATTTCAGGCATGTTTGTCAGGAGGGGGTAGTTCTTGGAAAGATACATCATGGTGAGGAAAGGTGGAAACTCAGAGGAAAAAGAAGATTCTCGATAAGACAAATTGATACAGTGATTCTAACAATGGACTTGAGTGCTGAATGGCAGAGAGCAAGTTCGGATCTGTTGTTCTTAAGGTTGTGGTAAACTCGATGGCATCTAACAACTATCATCAAAAAGTTTGTTTCATGTTTTTCAGGCACAAGATGCAGGGCAGGCTATAAATGTGGTGCTGGATAGAGAACTAACTAGGCTTTCCTTCCATCTTACCTGCAGCCCTTGGCTTCAGAGATGGTACCTGGTAGGATCCAGGACCCACCGAGTTCTCAGTGCTGCTACCTTCACTCAGCCTGAACAAGCGAGGGGCTCGATCATACATAATGGCTAGCGGGGGTAGAGGGCTGAGAAGGGATAAAAATCAGATTACTAGAAGTTTAGAGCAAAACGTAATTGGCATCAGCCTAAGGGTGCCTGGAGCAGGATTTCCGTTAAAGGAAGGGACGATTGCCCTACACGCTCATTAGGGTCAGATTACCCCCATGTTGATTTCTAGCCTTATGGCAACGAGGAGGAAAACACTGACAAAAGAATCTCCAATATAACTGTCATTTCACTCCCCTGGTAAAAACTACAGTAATCTAGACTAGAGAGGCCTTTAACTTCCGGCCTTGGGCCCGCCCATTTCTCTCTGCCCCGGAACCTCCTGGAGAAGAGGCGGGTCCAGACGCTGGGGAAGGACTTCAGGGTTTTCATCCAGTCCAGAGAGCAGAGCATGCGCAGAGGTGCTAGAACGGCTTCCTTCATTTGCTCAACGTCCTCCTCTGTGTCAGCGGGTAAAGAATCACGTGGAGCTATCCTGGAGTGTACGTATGCTTACAGAGCTGCATATACAGGCCTGTAATCATCACTGTGCAGAAAACCCGATTAAAAGGGTTTGTGCTAGCTACTTTGATCCGTTTTTCCATGTTAGTCAGCAAAAACTATGAAAGTAGTACAAGCCGAGCCTGGTTTTAGCAGCCAGGACTCCAATTTCTTTAACTCTCCTCCTACGTACAGAAGATAAGCACTTCAAGCTTGACCCTCAAATAATCCAAGCTGTGCAAAGAGAAATCCAGCAATGGGACGTGGGTTTTTGTTGTTGTGTACCAGCAAGTTAGAACTGAACCATAGCTGCCTCAGGTTGTCAGAGGCAAGAAATCTCTGGGGAGGAGACTGTCCACCCTTCCTTGGAGCACGTAAGAATGCTATCGGCAGAATATTGAAGGATTCAGAAAGCATTAAAAGAAGATGGAAGAACTATTCAGAGTCATTGTCCCAAAAAAGAATTAGCTGACAGAAGAATTTCAAGAAACAACATAGGTTCAAGAGGAGATGATGGAGGAGGAAGTTCAGGCTGCTCTGAAGGACATGACAGAAAAATAAAGCCCCAGGAATTGATGGACTAATTGACATATTTCAGCAAACAGATGCTGCCTTGGATATGCTTAACAAGTTTTGCCAAGAAATCTGGAGGAAAACTACTTGCTCTACTGACTGGAAGAGGTCCATATTCCCATTCCAAAAAATGGTGACCCAACAGAGTGGAAATTATAAAATATTATCACTAATATCACAGAGAGCTCTGGTACCCTAGTGGCAAGAAGTTGCATAGGGTTCAAGGCCACCAGCTGCTCCGTGGGAGATGGATGGAAGTGTCCTGCCTGCGATTAACTGCCTCTGACAACCTGTCAGTTCCTCCTCGATGGTACACAACAACAACAACAATATCACTAATAGCACATACTAGCAAAATCCTGCTGAAGATTATCCAGAAATGACTGTAACAGTACATTGAAAGAAAACTACCAAAAATACAATCTGGGTTTAGAACAGGTCATGGCACTAGAGATATTATTGCCAGTGGCAGAAGGACCTTGGCAAAAAAACAAAGAGTACCAGAGGAATGTCTATGTGTGTTTCATTGACTGTGCAAAGGCATTTGACTATGTGGATCACAACAAATTGTAGTTAATCTTGAGGAAAATGGGAATCCCAGAACACGTGGTTGTGCTTATACAAAACCTATACCTGAACCAAGAAGCAGTCCTCAGAACAGAGCAGGGAAACACTGTTGTTGTTGTTGTTGTTGTTTAATGCCGTCGAGTCGTAGACGACTCATAGCGACCCTATGAACGAACAGCCTGAGCTCTGTTCGTACATAGAGTTTCCAGAGGCAAGCCATTTTGGAAGTGGATGTCACTCCTGCTTCCAGGCTTGATTTAGTCGGGAAGCTCCAGCCAACACTGTCCACCATGAACACTACGTGGTTCAAAATCAGGAAAGGAGTGCATCAGGGATGCATCCTGTCTCCATACATTTTCGATCTATGTGCAGAACAGATCAGGTGGGAAGCAGAGCTTTATGAGGAGAAATGTGGCATTAGGGTTAGAGAAGTACTCATCAACAACCTATGTTATGCAGATGACACAACTCTGCTTGCTGAAACTGAGGAAGATCTGAAACACTTGCTGCAGAATGTCAAGGACTGTAGTCTTTAATATGGATTGAAACTCAACATCAAGAAGCAAAGATCCTCACCACTGGGCCAATTAGCAGCACTTTGATAGAGAAGAGATTGAGGGTTTTTGACAATTACAGCTTTCTCGGCTCCACAATCAACACTCTTGGCACCAGCAGTCAGGGAATCAAAAGATTGATTGCGTTGGGAGTATCTGCTATCAGGGACCTCTCCAGAGAACTGAAAAGTAACAATGTCAGTCAAGAGACTAATCTAGGCAATGGTCTTTGCAGTTACTTCCTATGCATTAGAGAGCTGGACAATAAATAAGGATGGAAGAAGAATCAATGTGTTCAAGTTGTGGGGCTGGAGAAGTATTGAACATACCATGAACCATCAAGAAAATAAATAGGTCTGTCTTGGAGAGAATGAAAGGAAGATTCTCCTTGAAGGCTAGGATTTTGAAGCTTAGTCTAGGGAGGATAGAAGGAGAATTGACGCCTTTGAGCTGTGGTGCTGGAGAAGAGTATTCAATGTACCATGGACTGCAAAGAAAACAAACAGATTCAGCCTAGAGAGGGTTAAACCAGGCTACTCCTTGGAGGCAAGGATTCTGGGGCTTCGTCTGACA